ATATCAAAGTTTAGAGTATAGATTAAAAAAATTATTCAACAGCTTTCTGATCTGAGGCATTCCTTCCTAAATATCGGGGTAAAACTCAGAGCCATGGTCCATGCTCTGCAACATCGGCTTCTGATCAAGAGACGACATCCTGCTCAGCATTTCGGCTGACAGTGCGTAACTATTGCCCGACTTCTCCTCGAACCAACTATCTAGTGCCCTTTTGCAATCGAAGTTGGCAATGGGCGGCCCATTAACGGCAATCGTCAAAAGATCACTGAGCTGCTCCAGCGTGAGCCGAGAGCGGTTGTTTTTGCGCACTCTCTGCAGGGCGGTGCGCCCCTTCTCACAGCAGGCCGATGAGGTGGGAAGGACTTTGAGGATCTGAACTATTTTATTTAGGAGGGGGAATCTCTGTTTGTATTTACAAATGTGACTGAGCAAGTCTTTAAAACCGTTTTTGGTATAATAATCCACCTTGAGTTCTCGCCATTCCATCAGCAGACTCCCTCGGGTGTCCATCCCCTCTCTGCAAACCTCTCTGGAAAATGATGGGACCGTCTCCAGGTGTTCAAATATTTGTACCATATCCTCCTTCCCATAGCTCATGAGCTCATCAGTGCTTCTGGGCCAAGCTGCAAGGTCAAATACCTGACAGGCCTTCACAAATGTCCGGCTACGGGAATCAAACCTTTGGGCTAGGATCACCTGGGTCTTCTGGCAGATCTTTTCTCTGATTGACTGGAATTTGGCTTCAGCCACCCGTAGGTTTTTCACAGCAATGCCATTAAAGCTTTCACGGAAGTTTTCCTCAAATTCCTGCAAGTACTCTCCAGGCGAGTCTGCTAGTCGGCTGATCTCCTGGATGGCCTCCTCTATTTTATCGTCCACCTGTGACACAAGAAGGTACTCCCCTTGGAAGACGTAGGCGAGGCGTGAAAGCACAGCGATCACATCCAGCAGGAAGTAGATGAGTTTAATCGACTGGTAGTCCATCAGGAACTGCAGGAGGGCCAAGGCAATCGCAGAAGCATCTGCCCTTTGGGTCTGGCCACTGACGTCTTTGAGATGGGCCACAACCTCAAGGTAATCCTTGATTAGAGCGTTGAGCACATTCTGCTCCCCAATGATCCACTTCACTGCTCGAATGTCCCCCAGGAACTCGGTCTCCTCACACAGAGTGGCAGCAGTGACCCTCAACTCGCACATGAGTCGGGGAGAGTAACGATAGAAACTGAGCAGTTGCTTCAAATTGTTTTCTAGCTCCTCCAGGCAAGGCAGTTCCTTTCCGCTGATTGCATCCAAAATTTCCAGATGGGGCCTGTGCACCATAAAGGGCAGGCAGAGTAGCCAGGGCAAGGTCTTTCTGATTGTCATGAACAAGTTGGCTCTCAGGCTGGCGGTAATGTTAGCACCATCGACTCCCAAGCCAATAGTTGGCTTCTCATCCTGCAGTCGTATTCCCAGGCTGGAAAAAGCCCTGTCTAGTGCTTGGAGGTAACTGTCTGTTGTAGAAAAACCCAGTTCCTGAAGAGACAGGAATTCGGTTGCTGGAGGCCCATCACTGCTCGTGTACTGTACATAAACCGCAACCGTGTCTGCAAGCAAGTCATCGCTCTGCCCGTCCAGAATGATGCTGAGGAAAGGAGACTGTCGGATGCGTTCAACCAGGTCCTCTCGAAGAGCCCGGGCGATATGGTGGATTAAGATTTGGCAGTCTCCCTCATTCATGTATTGATCCACCACCTTAAGTTCACACTTTCTCAGTAGTTCTGCCAGAGGCCGAAAGTCATAGTAGGGCCTGCCCTCCAGGGCCAAGTGGTAGGCTGTATTGAAGAGCAGGGTCATATTTCGGCACATCTCTTCCGTCTTCTCTGGGTGCATCCTGAGCTTGTAAAGCTGCAGGCACTTCTTGTGGAGGTTGCTCTGGCTGTGAAGCTTTATTGTGTGTATCTTGAACTGCTTTGAGCCAATGATGAAGGCTGAAGTCCGAGAGGATTGCACTGTGTACTGCCTACAGACGTGGCACCACATTTCATTCAATGTCGGGGAGTACCGCAGAAACCAAAACTTTTTAAGCCACTCTTGCTTGAACCGTCGTATCCTCCGGCCCGTCGCCGAAGACATCTTGGAAGGCTCGTCTGTAGCAGCAATCATGTCATTGGAAACTGATTCATCAGCAGAATCCACCTCTTGGTCATCGTCCTCCATGATGGTGGGAACAGAGATGATGCTTTCTGAAGCTGTAAGGAAAAAAAAAAAAAGGAAAAAAAATAAGGTGTTTACAAAGTTGCTGAGCTAGAGAAGCATCCTACTGGTGACAGCAGAGCATTGCCTGACGAGCTGGCCACAACCTGCTCTCTCCTGCCCACAATGCACTATGGGTAGAATTTGAATCATGGCTTTGAAGGGAAAATAAATCAATGTTTCTGCATATGAACTTTGTCTCTAACATGCCACAATGGACAGCAAGAAATGACACTACATCCTGGCCACTTGCACAATACATGGTGTGACCCAAATACTCCTTTGGTGAAGGCTCCTGGCTGCTGCTTCCTGGAGGACACAAAACATATCTTCAGCAAGGGACACATGGTTGTGTTAAGGCAGTGGAGGAAACAGAGAGGGCTTTCCAACAAGGGACACAGTGGGACACCATTTCATACACAAAGAGGGTGCATTTCAGTGTTACCACAGAGTCATTCAGACTTTCTTGGTAGCATGCGAGGCACTGCAGAGGGGCTTCCGCTGAAAGAAAATGCATCAAAAATACAGCAAACAAACTGTCTGCAATGGAATGTCTTTTTTATTGGCAGTGCATTATCGATTACAACGGCAACAAATAGAGCAAGTTGTCATACAGAGTCTTTCCCAGACAGTGTCTTCCACTGTGCCCACAGCTGTGTCAGCTCCTGGCCCACCCGGTCACAAAACCTGACAACGAACCTTCCACGGAACCACGTGTTCACCTGAATACTCAGAGCAAAACGCTTTAGATGGGTACACAGCACACAGGCATCTCACTATTCTCCTTAGGCAGGGTTTGGAGAACGCTGTTACTTCGCAAGGCTTACCTGTGGGGTCCGAGAACTCTTGGAGCTCGGGTACCTGGGGCGGTAGCACGGGTGGCTCAGGTAACTTCCCAGATCGCAGCATGTCCAACTCGGCCTGCAGCTCCCGGATCTTCTTCTTCAGCCGGATGCAGTTGGGGCAGAAGGAGGTGGTGGGGATTTCGTGGGAGTTGCCTTGTGCAGAGGCCAGTGACAGCTCGGTTGGACTGTCTGCTTTGAGTGACAGGGGCTCTTCCTCCTCATCTTCAAGGATGCCCATCTCTTTGGCTGAGCTGAAAGACGAACCATGGGGGACCATCCATTCCCCCTCGTTCCGGTTTCTGCTGAGGTTCAGTGAGCCATGTTGCATGGCACCGCCACACCTCTCAAAGATGTCTTCAGCCTGGTATTTAGATGCTTTTCTGATGGAAAGCGGCGTACCCGTTGCTAACTGGTTCTCTTCAAATTTGGCGGACTCCAAGGAAGCCTCCAGGACGTCTTTGAAGATGAGGTCAATCTTTTTTTTCTTTGTTTGGGGGTGGGATTCCCCCTCGTCACAGCTGCGCTTGTAGGGGCTCTTCCCTTGCTTTAAGGTGGCGAGCTGGAGTGGCCCCCTCGAGTCCTCCTGATTTTCCACATTCTTTTCTGACTTTTCCCTCTGCAACTTTTTGTCTCCTGGAAAGGAAAATGAGGGGTGGGGATTATCACCGGGAACCGAGCAACATCCCTCAATCTAAAACTCAAATGAAAAAAAGAACAAAAAGGCAGGCTGTATCCCTGCAGGTCTGCACATTGCATCACAAACCAGGGAACTGACACAACTCAGTGGAAACCGAGGCTCGCGAGAGGAGGAGCCCTGCTAATGGGCACGTCTGCAAAAACAGAGACAGTCCTGGGTAGCCACAGCGGAGTAGGACCCACACACTTTAAAGAGAAGAGAAACTACAGGCAGCTTGTTTAACCTGAAGGTATAACCAACCTGTGCTAGAAGGAGACTACAAGGTGAATGACTGAATCGCGGTGGAACCTAACACCCAGAGCCCAAGCGCCATTTCGGCTGGCTGGAAGACCTGTGCCTGTTTTGACTTGGTAAAAGGTATCAAGCGTACAGCAGTGCAGCAAGAGATTTGGACCGTTTCATGACAACCCCGGCGTCTGTGCACGCCATGGCACAAAGTTTGCAAGCCCCTTTACTCTCGTTCAGTTTGGAGGCTGCTCCAGAAATGCAAAGGTAAAGGCGTAAAAATAACTCGCACTCTTAAACCCCAAGGTACTCATTGTCAGCTGAGCTACAACGGGTGAATGCCCTCCAAGGATGGGACATCTAGCTTGTCCCGGTGGAGTCTAGAGCATGGCCATTCAGTGATTAAAAAAAAAAAAAATAAATAAAAGCAACCTCATACAAATTATTAATTGCTTAAAATAAAGGGAATAGCCAGATTTCCTTACCTGGAAATTCAAAAGACGATAGGTTTGGCTCAATTTCCATCATTCTTCTATCTTGTAAATAACTTCAAGCATTGATGGCTTCCCAAACAAGACGCTGCTTTATGCTGATTTTTGGGTTTGTTTGCTTTTAAAGTGTATTCATGCTTTCATAAGAGTTACGGAGCAAAAGCTACCATTCCCTCTCTAAGGAGAGCAATGCTAAGAATGCAGAAAAGATGCGAGACTCGAAACAGTTAGAGTAAGGCACCGTAAAAAGGGCTGGCCCGAATGGCAGGGATTTTGCACTGGGTTTGGGTGCTGGCTGGCAAACCCAGCCATTTCTTGAGTGAATCCGTAACAACAGATCTCATTTTCAACACATTGACGAGAATTTCTATGGGCAAAGCTTTGAGTCTCTGCTCTAGTATTTACCCTGTTACAGACTATAATGACTACTGGCAGAGGTAGGGATTTAGAGAATGGATTCTTCTTCTTTCTCAGTGATTTTCCCCCCCCAACCAATCAAGTGGTTCAGCCCTATGGAAAAGCTAGAAATCACAAAACGATCCCTCGTATTATCGGTCTCAACTCCCATTGATGAGGCGGGTCGGAAACTGCCGACAAAAACAAAACCCGGGAACCATGTTATTTTTCTGAGAGTTAATAAAGCGTGTCACTTCACTCGACAGGCTCATCTGCAGGGGATTTGAAATCTTTCAAATAGAAAGTGACTGAACAGATTTTGGAGCTGCTCCCTGACCACTTCCCAGTGCCCTCCCAGCTGAGGCTGCGATGTCTCTCGCAAGTCTAGCAATGGCCCAAGTGATGCTCCGTTTTAACATCTCTGCACCTCTTTTGCTAACGCAGGCTGAGCCTGGCTTGCTATATGATGAGCTCACCGAGACGTCAGGGGGTTTCTAGGATGTTCTCCACAGCTACATGGGTTTCTGCCTGAGCGTGTGGCAGGCTATGGTGTGTCCTGAGGAGCCCAGAGGCAGATCTTCGCTGCACTGGTAGCCAGAGCAGGCTGTGAGTTACCATTTCAGCTCATGTAAACTACGACACCATGATAAACCACGACTAAAGGCATGTCTGTATGGCAGGGCACTCATAGCCTTGGTGCCCCTCCAGAGCAGCTGCTCCAAGGGTGCAGTCTTTCTCTTGCCATACTTTCAGAAAGTACTAAGCAATCTGGACAACAAACATGTGCATGGGATGCAGCAAAATCACTGCAGCCTGTACCTAATCACTCAGTGATGTTCATTAACATAAAAAAAGCACATTCATACCGATGTTAATTCAGAAGTGGGAATTGCCCAAATACAGCCATCAAGATGCAACACTGCAAGTGCATAATAACTCCAAGGTGACGGAGGATAACCAGCTTTTTCAGGACATCTTGTCCACCCCATGATTAGAGAGGAGACACCTTTTACCAAGTCAAGGCAGCAACTGCAGCTGTGTAATAATATACATGGGAATCTTAATTAGAAAGTTATATTTAGTGTGGCTGCCCCTCTGAGGCCCTGCCATTCTGTGGCTAGGCCTGGAAAGAAATGCCCTTAATTAACTTCAGGTCTCAGCATTGTATAGATGAACAGATGCATTAAGAATTTTTACCCTCCTCTAAAGCTTCCTATGTTGCTGACATTACAGTGACCTAAAGGACCACTAGGTTTGTTCCAGCATGGCTACTCTCAGATAACAATTTTTATCCAGGGAAGAATCAGTCTGACAAGTACAAAGCCTCCTGTACGTTGTACATGCACTCTAAGGTTGTGAGACTAAGGAGTCTCTAGCTGATGTCGCGCTGATCCCAAATTATCTTTCTGAAGAAAGAGGAGATAAATTAAGCGAGGAAAATGGACATACAAACACACCAAGGAAATCTCTTTCACATGCACACAAAACCAGCCAGAGCTCCCTCAAACAGGCTGCTCACAGGAGCCAGAGAAAGCAGCAGGTTCAGAAGAAAATACTAATGCCTGTCTGTAGGACCACCAGCTTGGCAATCTTCAGGCCAGGAAGTCTTGTGACAGAGGAGCTCTGTGGTCCCTGGGCTTTGCATCAGGCCCTTGCAGCACACACACACACGACACACGACACATGACACAACACGACATGACACAGCACAAATCTTTCTTTCAAGATCTTCATAACAGTGGTTATATTATTCTTCTTGTACACCCATCCATCCATGCCATGCAGAGCTCTCACCCAGAGGTGCTCTGCTTCTAGAAACGCAGCTCTCCTCGCACAGCCTGTGCACCACCTACTTCACCCACCACACTCGGCCCAACATGCGTGGCAGCCCAAGGGGATTGGGGGAGAAGGCAGAAAGGGAGGAGACTCACCGCTTGTGAGATTTCTGTTGATGGTCTCTTGGGACATACTATGCAACCGCTTCATGTAATCCTCACTGTACCAGACCCGCAGCTTCTCCCCAGGGTGGATGTCACGGCAGGCACGGAAGTAAATCCTCTCGCTGTGCTGGAAGGCCATCAGGTTCTGCTCCCTCTCCTCCCGGGAGATGATCACATACCTGAAGGTGAGGTGACAAGACAGGCATGAAGCACAAACTTCTCTCCTGTGCCCCCCCTTGCACCAGAACAACAACCACGATGAAGCCAGAATGACCTTCAGAGAGAGCCATCAACACAGCCAGACTGGAAAGCATGGAGTTATAAGTAATGGTATGCAAACTGCCAGAGATACAGGACAACGAGCATGGACACCTAGGGAACACCAAGCCAGTGGGTCCATTTCTGCTGGGAAAGGGATGACACCAATGTAGATCCAATCTGAAGGAGTATCTCTGCCAGTAATGGTGACACAGACTCTCATGGGCAGAAATATCTTTGCCTAGTGATGGAAACAAGGGACTTCTGGATTCCCCATCACTTCACATCCCAGGACCTCCTCCTTTGTTCTCAGGAGCATCCGGAATATGGCAGGATCCCTCTGCCTGTCTCTTTCCTAAAACCACCATCTTCCTTTTTAGCAGAAACCAGATTTCCTTGCTTCTCTCCTCTTGGGCAAGCAGAATTGAGATACTCAGGGCAGAAACACGAACACCTAATGCGCATGGGGGTATTCACTGGTTGTCCAAAAGGAAACCAAGGACATGCCAGTACTGGAAGGATTTGCACTTGGGCCTTCAGCAGGCTGTGACATAAAATTACAAAACAGCCCTGCAAGTCTCAGGAAAGCCCAGTACCAGGTTGTGGGGATCTCCTGGCAGTGCTGGCAGAAAGATCACTTTCTGGGCATGGGGTTTGTTTTCCTGATTTAAAACAGCTAAATTTCAGCTCAACAGAAATGTATTAACTCACACTCCAAACAACTGGTCCTCTGTGCAACTTGGTAAGACAGAGATTATAGGTAGGATCGTATTATTTGCTCTCACATTCCCCATGTTCTTGCTAGAGGACATGGAAAAGCCTTGGTAATACTGGTTCCAGCTGCCACCGACATGAGCTCCTAACACCCACTCTGGACCAGGAGGAGGCCCTGTCATGGCACGTACAGACCCGAGAGCAGATCTGAACAGTTCGCAGCTAAAAGCTTTTTCTTCTCTTACACCATTTGCCTCTATTATTCAGCACTCCCTGCCACAGTAACATTAATGAAGGCAAGTGGCATATGGCTTGTCTGACATCTCCTGCTACTAGTCCTTGCCCAAATACTCCTTTATAGCTCATGGATATTTCTTTGGCTTCAGATATCCGTCAATTTTTCCTTGAACACTCTCCCGTTCTCCAGCCATGTGCATGCACAGATAGAGACACAAGCCCACCTGCATGTGATCACACCAACCCACACACATAAGGTCATAAACTTGGTGAAACTTCCCGCAAAACACAGAAAACAAGTCTGCAGTGTCTCAGACTGCCCGAGGCTCCAGCAATTCTGGTTTTAATGTTAAGCAACTGTGCATGTGCCTGCAATCAGCTGTATTTTTCCTAATGTGTGCTACCCAGGATGCTCCGCAATCTTCAGTAATTATTTAAACAGCAGGCTCTGGCACTGCCAAAATCATCTGAAAATTAGCTTTTGTTAACCCTTATTTTACTTTTGATCACAAAACAAAGGAACTTTTAAACCACCAGTTTGCATATTTGAGAAGGAATGGAGGCCTGGACCAGCGTGGTGGGCAGGAGGTCCTGCAATGGAACACAGCTAGCACTCTCACGCTGTCACGTCTGGGTGTTAGTGATCACTCCACAAAAGGTGTATCAGGCATTCAGACAGCCATGAGATACACAGCCCTTGAGATAAGGCAACATGTTGTGGTCAGTCTGATGCCCTGCAGCACAGGAGATCCTAGAAGATGCTCTCCCCAGTCCAAGCATAATGCCAGGATGCTTCCTAGTGCCAGCTGAGGAGAGCCCCTGCGGCCGCTCTGCATCTCGCTGCCCAAACATCAGCCAGAGCAATGACAAGATCGGGCTGCCCCTGCGAAGGAGGCCAGTTAACTGCAGAGATTTATCACCCCCAAGTCACTCACAGCTCCTTAATACAACGTACAGGACGTGCATCCCCACAGCCAGTGGCACTGAGGACTTCATGGGGCAGTGGAAGGACGGTCCAGTGCATTCCCAGCAAACTGCATTTGGCAGCAAAATTTAGAAAAATCTCTAAAACACAACTTCGCGTGGGAAGGGGAGAGCCTGGTTAACTATTCCCACCAGGGCTCACTTTTATTACAAAGTATTTTATTAAGCATGAGCATGCTTTTCCTGTTTGCTCTCCTTCTGCCTGTAAACCCCTCCAAGTTTCTGCCTGAGACTGTCCTTCAGCTCTGCTGCCCGTGTCCTGTGGCTTCGGCTGCTCCTGGTGTGGCAGGGAGCTGGGAGGAGAGAGCAGGCTGGAGGGCGCGAGCTGCAGTACTGCTGCATCCCTGCAGCACGCTGCCCAGCCACCCGCTCCCATCCAGCGTCCTGCAGCGACCGGCACTGCCAACTTCACCAGGAGGTACGAAGAAAGCCCTTAACAGTTGTGGAATAATCCAGTCACAAACACGTTTATTCACAGCTGCTGGTAGCTAGTACCTGGTTTATGCTCTGAGAGGAAGCTTTACATTTGTGGCACTTCCCTGAGGTAATGTAAATGGGGGTGAGATCATCCACAAAAATGAACCGCTTTCAAACCAGAGCTGCCCAGCCCAGCTCCAGCAAAAGCGACCCCAGGGGCACAAATAACACAGGTTATGAAGGATTGCATAAAACCCAAATCCACCTGTCGGTCTAAGATACCTCATGCCGCTGCATGTCACGGATTAGAGGCAGGTGATTTCCCAATGACAGAGCAAGTCACTCCACAAAATGGCAGCCTGCTTGGCAAGGTAGGGGCACAAACTGCCTGCTAAGGAGAGAGACTGTACCAGTCTGCCTTCAGTGACATATCTTCCCGAGGCTGAAGCGCTCGTGTCCTGAGCAACCCTTCCTGTGAAGGCTGGAAAGCGACCAGCCCTCTTGCCGATGCCAAGCACTCAAGCTGAATTGAGACAAGAAGGCTACCCCAGTTTAGATGCCCAGGACAGGCTGACACAAGTCCTGCACACAGACAGGCATGGCCCTGCTTGCGCAGCGGGTGTCCCGAGGGATTGTGACCCCAAAGGAAGAGCAGGGTTGGGACTGCTATTGGGGCAGACCCGGCCACCCAGAGCTGCTCCTATTCCTGCAGACGGGCATTGACACCAGCTGCAAATATGTCATTTCATGTCCTGCTCAGTCCCTAGGACGAGCCAGGCTCAAGAACACCGCAGACTCTGCCCAGGTTTAGGACCAGCCATTGCACCAATGGAGACCATTTACAACCCATGTGCAGGTACTGGGGCTTAGACCAACCCCATGGCTGTTAGAGGCACACCTTCTTGTTTCACAGGGGCTCCTTTTGCATAGCCTTTCTAGCTAGCAGCAAAAAAAAAAAATCCTCGTCTCCCATTTTTCTAAGCCTCATACCACCAAGGACACCAAATTGCCAAGTTTTTGGGATGGCCCAGTGAGCGTGTCCAGAAAAATGTGAAGGTGGCTTTTGGCAGCTGGGCCCATTCCTCCCCAGGAGGGGAACTGAGCAGCCAGGAGAGACAGTGAGGAGGAAGGAGAGCCCTGCAGCTGGAGGGAGGCTCAGGATTCTGTCCCCCCCACCCCAGATTTGCCCCATGCCTACCCTCTGCCCGCTGGCCCCTCTGCTGCTCACCCTCTGGCTGGCCCCAGGGGTCCTCTGCTGACACCCTGCCAGGGCAAAGCACTACAGGGAAAAGGCCACTGGCCTTTCCCAAATCAACATCAGGTGTAGAGCCAGGGCAGGAGATCCCGCGCAAGAGAGCTGTGACCAGCCCTGGCAGACACCATGGGGTGTCGTACCTGCAAACCCTGCCTCAGCTCTCCCATGCCAAGTGCCCCCCAGGAGACCCAGCATCTGTGATGAGCTTATTATCAGTTCAGGGAAAAATTATATGAGAGAAACACAAGACTCAACAGCGGTTGTGTTAAAAGTGTTATGTATTTATTGCATTCTTAACAAAAATACTTTTAAAGAGAGAACTTTTTTCAGCATGTACAAGACATGGAGATACTGGGGTTGAGCACAGCAGTTTGCTTTCACATGGGCACTTACTTTGACAGCCAGTTAACATGATGGGTGCAGGAGGAAGTATCCTTTGCGAGCCAGTACAGAAAAGCCACTCCACCGAGGGGTCTACACAGGGCAGGAGATACGTCCCCAGATCTGGGCCAATCTGTAATAGTCCACAGAGGTAACTGGGGGAGACATCAGGCAGTTTATAGTACAAGGTTTCTCCTGAGCAGAGCCCAGCCTTTTGGGGGTTTGCATGGAAGGCTGTGCATCCTGTGCCAGGACAATGGGGTTCTCTCTCTAAACATGTCTGTGTGGGCAAACCGATGGCAGCGATGCCAACTCCGTCCAGCGCCCAGCACCTGCGGGAGTCTCCTCCTCTGCAGACCCAAAAGGGATCCACCTGGACAATATCAGAGGAGCTAATCCTATCAGTTTATCCATAGGAGAACATCAGCAGGGACCAAATAGTACAAAAATATAAAATACTACTTCTAATATATAGCAGCAGCACTGTATTGACTCAAAAAGCCTTTAAAACATATAACCATTTTTTCAGCTCTCTGTGATTCATAAATTAGATCCACTTCTACAAGACTTCCCAGTCTTCCCTTCAACTGAAGAGAGATCATGACTTTTGCAGAATACAAATGTTACAACAGAAGTAAAACGACATTCTCAGAGGAAGGTGAGCGAGTACTGCCCTGGTCTGGCACCAGCACTACGAGGAACATCTTCTGCATGAAACCAGCATGGCTCATTCCTCAGAAAGGCGGTTTCTCTCCTTGCCAGACCTCTACTTCCTTGAGCAAGGGCCTTTTGCCATACCGCTAAAAATAAATTACTTGAATTAGAATTACAGAACAATTAAAAAGAAAAAAGGAAAAGCACATCAGGAATGCCTGACGCAGCAGACATACACTGAGCTTTCCAGAAGAGAAGCTAGTGCACTATACTTTCAAA